CAGGATTTGTCTCCAGAATTAGAAACTTTATTCCATTATTTTATTTGTTTGTTGTTGCTGTTGTTGTTGTGCCTTGGGTGCAAATTAACAGAGCAGAATTTGCTTTACATTCAACAGTTCATGTACATTTGATTTCATGCCCTGACTACCATCCCAAACCCTAGCCCACTCTCCTCCCCTCCCTTCCCTGTGACCCCATCTCTCTATGCCCCTCTTAACCATGCACTCCTGTCTGTCCAGCTTTCCCTCCATGTGAATGCTACCCCTCTGGTGCCCCATGGCCGATTTCTCCAAGGGATGTATATCCATAGAGTAGGTGGGTGCCCTGAGTTGGGTGTTCTGTATGTAAATCTTTCTACTCTTTGGGCTGAGGGCCAGTCCTTGGGAATGAGTCTTATCCCAGGCCCAAAAGTCCTATCCTAGGGCCATAGTCTTGGGGGTCCCACCAGACTCCATCTGACCAGTAATTCTGGCCATTACTGGGTTTTTTAGTTTTGTTCCACATTTTTCCTCCCACTCTATCTAGGATTTCCAGTTCTGATCCCTCCCTGAGTGGTTGGCATTGGTAGCCAGGCACCACCAAGTTCCTCTGGTCTTGAGGTCCATCATATCCTTGGACTAATTATTTCCAAATATCCTTGATTTTCTTCATTCTTGTTCACTTCAGATGAGAGGAGACCATTAGCTGCATCTTAGATGGCCTCTCAAAAGCTTTTAAGACCCCAGTGGCTATTCACCAAATCAGTTGTGTCAATTGAGCCTGCTTCCCCCAAATACTATGGTCCTGAGTCAGCAGGCCTGGTGGTTCTCTCTTCCAAGATGTTTGTCAACCAAATACATTTTTAAAAATCAAGAGCCAAATTACCAACCCATCTTCCACTAATATGAAAAACAATGTGATTGAAACTATTGTGATGAAATTGGAAAAGCCATGATGAAATTGGAAATTGAAAATCCTTAAAAAAGGAGTAATATGTTTGTCAGTATTCTGATTCTAATCGGAATTGATGACATAGAATAGCATAGAATTCTGTTTAATGTATATACAAAGATGACAAACATTCATGAAACATTCAATGACTCATAGAACAAGTCTGAATTTTTGCATTTTTATAAAATCTTAATTATATTTGTTGTTGTTGTTGTTTGCCGTCGAGTCGGCCCCGACTCATAGCGACCCCTCCTTGGGTTTCCGAGGCAGTATCACTACGGAAGTAGGAT